GGATTCGTCACCAGCCCCTCAGCACCCTGCTCTGCTCTGTCCTACTTGTCGACCACAGTCAGCAGCTAATCAGGTCAAGAACCAGGTTCAGCTCCTGACTTGCCAGTTATTTTCTTCCTATTCCTACACCCCAACGAGCCACCTCACAAAAGTGTCCTGATGACGGGTCCCAAGCTGGGGTAGTGGTTAATAATCTATAGATAAAGCACTGTCCATCCCTCAGCAATCCTGGGACCATAACTCAAATCAATTATTTGTGTTTTCAATTCACTTCTTTTTTTAAAAAAATTATTTAAATTTTTGTTGTCGGGGGGGGCATTAGGTCTATTTATTTATTATTAGTCTTTTTTTTTTTTTAACGGAGGTACTGGGGATTGATCCCAGGACCTCGTGCATGCTAAGTATGTGCTCTACCACTTGAGCTACACCCCCCCCACTTCACTTCTGTAGATGCCTTCACAGCTCTATCTCCTAGCTCCCCAGACCCTGAAGCTATTTAAAGGGACAAGGAAATTGAACAGATGCAGCCAAACAACTACAATTCTTACACAGATATTGAGGGTTTTCACCAAAAACACAGATCCAAATAAGTAACTCCTGAAGATCTCAAGGGTACCTATTTCCATGCTCGAACTGAGGAGAGGGGTAAGGAAAAGGATGGCACAGCACAGCTAATCAATCCACCCCAGCTTCTACTTCGTGCTTTAGACAATCATTTTGTAGTGGTGCATTTGAAAGCATGGGTTTCGTTACCATCTCTTCAAATCTGCAAGAACATTTAAAAATGTAAGCTCAGCTCCAACTCTTGTCCCCTCTTTGATGAGAAGTGAATGAAAGTCTCTAGAGGCTGAGGTGTCTAGAGCAAGGGAATCGCACGTGTTTTCTCTCCGTGGTTCATCTCTCATTGTTTCCCTTTCATGCTGCTTTAAATTAAAATATAAAAGATACATTAAAACGACTAAAAGTTGGAAGGCTCGTGGAGAACTTTTCTTTTCCTCATCTTTCAGAGAGTTGCTAAACCCCACGTGGAGAAGGAAAACAGAGAAGAGGGTAGAAATCATTCCTAGATTGAAAAAAATAAATATTTTTAAGGAAGGAAAACCCAGGGAAACAAATTATTCTTGAGCGGTTTAAAGTCTCATCACGGGAAGATATCATTTTATGCAAGCCATGTCTAATAACTGGTGCACTATTAAAAGAAACAATATTGAAAATCAGGTTAGATTCAGGTTTTTTAAAAACTTAAAACACCATTTCTCTTTTTATCTGAGTTTCACCAGATTTCAGCAACGGGGGTTCCATGAACGTGCTGGGACCCTTTTTTGGTTTGTCTCTACAATCCTAAGTAATTCACAACTCAATTTAGTGACATCAAATGGTAAAACCTCAACTATTCTAATTAAGAGTTCCTTTAGGTAGTTCTGAGTCCATTAAAATCAGCGGGTGATTCCAACATGACAAGTCAATGGGAAAGGCAGACAGCCCTGCTGCAGCGCACCACCCCGCTCCTGCCTCCAGGCAGAGCCGCAGTGACGCGTCCGCCGCACGAGGAAAGGGGCCAGGCTTTCTCTGGAATGCTGCCACGAAACGTTATACCAGGAACGCAGCAGCCAGTTACTGTCAAACCACCAAGGATGTTAACTGATATCTAACCATCCCTGGAAAGAAGTACGCATTCCAAAGAGAGGTTTCCATCATTTCCACAATCTTGCAAAATTTTTGAATTTTACCCACTTTGTGCTTTCAAGTCTGAAAACACCTAACTATGAACATGATTAAGAGTATTGAACATGGTTACAGTTCTTCTTCGATCATTCCAAAATCTACCTGATTGACATTTGATAATTTACCAAGACTCTCTATGTAAGATAAGAATAGAAGACATGTATCAGGTTTAAGCTCAAAAACTCACACCATTTAGAGCAAAGCACTAATTTCTTTCGGCTGACTTTTTCTTCATTCCTATTTGTACTTCTTTCGTTGGTCAAAGCCCAAGAAAATCCCTGACCAGAGGTGCCCCCCATGAGAACAAGGCTCTTTAAAAAGCTGACAGATCTACCAAAAGCCAAGAGTCAAAGAGTGGGGGAATCTTTGGAACGGCCTCAAGTGAAAGGCATACTACAACTCATTCAAGCACCACTCTCCCAGCACACCTTCCTCCCCCAGAGAGCTGGAGGAACCAAGGGGAACACAAGTGACTCATTGTGATTGCTGGTTACCACCCAGGAAGAGGAGACTTGAGCAGTTTGGTGAAGACAGGATGGACTCACAACCAGAGGAGCATGCAGGCTGGTTGAAGACTGCCTCAGAGGGGTTCCTCTTGGGAAGACCTCCAGTCCCAGGCCAGCTGGAGGGTACCGTTAAGCCGAAATTCCAAATGGCCAGAGTCGTGTGATGCCAGCAAAGTGTACACTGTGTCTACGAGGAGTACAGCTAAATGATGAGAACAGGACACTCAGCTGATCTGATCTCATCATAGGACTAGCATTTCTGCACCCTTCATGTATGTCACAGCCATGTAGAGGATCTGGGACAAACCCCCAGTTTTGGTCCCGTCTGATCTAGCCATGATCATATCATTAAAAGCTGAGATCAGGATTTGCACCAGGGATAAGACTTGAGGAGAGGTTTTAGAAGAACTCAATGTGTGCCCTTCTCCTTGTTAAAAAAAAAAAAACAACTAGACATGAACTTTAAAGCCAAGATCTTCCAAGATCTTATCTTTCTTTTTGGTGTTTCAGAACTTATTTTATTTTCTCTTTTAACTCATGCTGCACTTCCCCATGTTTAACATTGCAAATTGCACACATGGATAAAGTCATGCAGATGAATTATTTTACCTTTGCCTGCACCTACATCAGGTGGGAGAATACCAGCTTTAATGAAGGGAAACAGAAACAGGACACTATGTCGTTAGATGTCACACACCCATGAGCATGTAAAGCTATATAAAAACACATTAAAATCCTAAAGCATGCAAGAAGAATGAAGTGTACCACATCCGGTACAGGGGACAAAGGTATGTTGGTGTCCCCAAACTTACCAGTAGTCAAATCCACCCATACTTAAAGTACATTATTCATACTTGCCTGTTATGTAAGAAGGCTTAGGATATTTGAGCCAATTTTGGGGTAGAAATGTCAATTTCTTATGCTAGATAATCAAATAATCCTTAAGCAATTCTACAATTCAGAGCCATGCAAAAACAGAAAATCTTTTCCAATGTTTTTGATCATTTTCATTGAAACTGAAGTTTTTCAAGATAATTTTGAAAAGCGTGAAAGGAAGAGTTCATTCCTTTTGTAAATACGTGAATGGGGCTATTTTGCTTTCCCTCTACCAGATGGCATATCAAAATACAAAGTCCCATGTGCAAACACAAAATAAATGCACTACTTAATAACTGTTTGGAGTTCCTTGCTGGAAAACCTAAATCAGTATGTAGATGGCAAATTATTTTCTGGTGAATCAAGATCAGAACTAGAATTACAAATATTTATTTTGTGTATAGGCATGTACGCCTGTGTGTGTGTACAGAGATGTATTACATGTATGTGTATTTAGATGTGTGTATGTATATATGTAAAGTTGTAGACAGGAAAAAACATTGTCTTGAAGTCTGGATTTAAGTGCGGCAAAAGATTGTAATTTCTACCTCTCACCGCAATATGTTAATATAAGTTTAAAAATTTCCTATGGACTTGAAAACCAAACATCGAATCATAGTCTAGTATGAATTAAATAATTGATTTTATATAAAACAGGATGAGAATAAGTGTTTGTGCTCACTGGGTAAGATGGATACTTAGGGAAGAAAAAGGATAAACTTGATGATTTTTGTCTCACGAGACTTAGAGCTACATGGATTTCACACACACCCATCTTACCTTCATCCACGGTGGTCACTGCTTCCTCTGTGATTTGACTTCCTGACCCTGCTGCGGTTTGTGCATAGAAATAAAACTTGTACCGAGTGCTGAAATTTAAATTTTTTAAAGTCCAGCGGGTCTTGTTGGCAGGAATTTTCAAGTCTACCAGAGGGCCTAGTTCATGTGTGCTGTTAACTGTCAAAAAGTATGTAAGATAAAATAAAATAAATGAACAAACCATACCAAACCAAACACACTGACACAGAGAACAGAGCAATGGTCGCCAAAAGGGAAGGGGCATGGGGTGGGAAGGGTGAAATGGGTAAAGAGATCCACAGTAATGGGGATGGATGGAAACCAAACTTTTGCTGGTGAGCACGCGATAGTGCATACAGAAGTCGAAATACAGTGCTGTACACATGAAACTTACAGAATGTTATAAAACTACGTTCCTTCCATAAAAAAAAAGAACAAAGTGCATTCCCCATTAATTGCTGTATGAAGACTATCATAAGTAAATGTGTCAACCAAAAATGTTAATCTGGGTGACACTGACTTTTGTAATCCTACTCACTCTTTGCCTGACATAACTGATAACCTTATATACTCCTATAATATAACATAACAAGGAAAATACATTCTCCACTGGCTTCTAAGCTGGGAGAATTTTATAGTTGAATTCCCATAGCATTTCTATTTTTTAAAATTTATTTATTTCTTTTGATGGAGGTACTGAGGATTGAACCCAGGACCTCATGCATGCTAAGCATGTGCTCCACCACTGAGCTATATTCACCCCGCCCCCTTAGCATTTCTTATCTCTTTGTTATTGCAGGTAGAGTTATATGTTGACAAACCATCCCAGATCTCATCTTCAGAAGCCTTGTGCCAAAGGATCTCTTCTTCTTAGAATTTTCTGGTTATACACAACACCTACCTAATCTAATCTAACAATAGCACCAACCTAAACCCCACACTCCAAGTCTGTATTATTGTACAGGTTACTTTACTTTCAACAGCATATATGTCGTGTGCCTTCAAAGAGTATGCTTTGAAGTTCCTTCTGCAATAACACTTGAAGGTACATGCATATATTCTACAGCTACAAAGACATAAACAGGTTGTATTTTAAGATAAGTCTTTTTTTTTCCTTCTCAAACCATATTTCCCGGTTTCCTTCTCCCCATAACTTACTTGGCTGATATTTTAGGGTGTATTCAGTCAAAATGCCATTCGGGTGGCTTGGTGGATCCCATTCCAAAGTAAGAGAGTCTAGTGTTGGATTCACAATCTTCAAAGAGGATGGAGCGCTGGGGACTTAGGATGAGAAATACAGTCAATGCAAGGGTTGTTGAAGGTTTCAAAATGTATTAAAATGATGTCTCTCACCAGGTCTACCCAACTCATCAAGGTGTTGGTTTTCTGTAACTCATCCCTGTTCCCGATTCAGCTCAAAATACCTTAACAGAAACCTGTAAGGGGTACCTGTTTAACTTTCCTCTTTCTCTTTTTTCCTCACCATTGCCATTTAGATTCATTAAAACCATCCTCTCAAACATAATGACCTGGCCTGTATAGAGACCCAAACCAATATTTTTCGAAGAGATGGTACTTACTTGTTTCATAAATGGTGTCTTAATAAAAGCAAACGAGTGGCTGAGTGAAACTATTTTAACCAGACCTTGGAGTAGAAGTACTTGTGTTCTGGGCTCTGAGGACTGTTTTTCCCAACAAACCAGGTGTCTCCAAACAGAACACCCAGCCTATTTGGCTCTGGGCATGCGCCAACCTGCCCAGGTGCAGAGGACTTCTCTGGAGAGCTGACAGACAGACTCCCAGAATCTCGGGTGATGGACAACAGCCCTGGGGCTGGCAAACCCTTGGCTCTGGTGAAGGCTTGCAGGGTGTCAGATTCTCTGCGGCAGAGGCTGGAAAATCACCAGCGGAAACATGCCCAGTCTTCTTTTTCCCCACAGCTGTAATTTTTATTTTCTCTTTTCTTCACATTAGTTTATATTCATTTTCCCTTTATGGCAGAGTTGTTAAGGGTACCAGTTAGAACCAGCCAGCCTCAGTCTGACTTCTGGTTCTCTCACTAAGTGACCTTGGGCAAGCGGCTTAACCTTTCTGTGGCTGAGTTTCCTTATCTGTAAAATAGCATTAATAATAATACCTCCTTCCTGGGGATGTTCTTAGGATTAAACCAAATAATTCATGTGTAGCTCTTAGTATAATGTCTAGCATACAGTGAGAGCTCAGCAGTCTATTATTAATATTTGCTGTACTGTCTTCATAGCCACCCTTATAATGACTCTTTTAATTTTTGAATTTTTAAAAATTGAAGTATAGATGATTTACAATGTCATGTTAGTTTCTGGTATATAACATAGTGATTCAGTTATACATATATATACTTTTTCATTATAGGTTATTACAAGATATTAAATGTAGTTTCCTGTGCTATACAGTAGGACCTTGTTGTTCATCTATTTTATACACAGTTGTTTGTATCTGCTAATACCAAATTCCTAATTTATCCTTATCCCCGACTTCCCACGTTGGTAACTATAAGTTTTTTTTGTGGGGGGGAGGTAATTATTTATTATTCTTTTTTTTTGGTGCAGGTACCAGGAATTGAACCCAGGACTCGGTGCATGTTAAGAACATGCTCTACCACTGAGCTATATCCTTCCCCGGTAAGTTTGTTTTCTATGTCTGAGTCTCCTTCTGTTCTGTAAATAAGTTCATTTGTATCACTGTTTTAGATTCCACATGTAAGTGGTATCATATGATATTCGTCTTTCTCTGTCTGACTGACTTCACTTTGCATGACAATCTCTAGGTCCATTCACGTTGCTGCAAATGGCAGGATTTCATTCTTTTTGATGGCTGAGCAGCTGGTCTTCTTTTATTCACTTCCTCACCAGGATGAAGGATGGTGGCAGCCCTCCCTTGTGACTGTAACCTCCTCTACCCAACCTACCAGGTTCTTGAGACCCTCCTGTCCCTCTAGCCAGAAACCAGGAAGCCGACCTGAATTTCTCCCTCTGCCTCATTTCCACATCTCCTGGGCTACTAAATCCTGGCAATTCCACCTTGCTAACCTCAACCGTATCCATTTCCTCCTTGCCTCTCTGCCCTGGGCCCCCTACAGGCCCTCAATGGCCTTTGCCTGAGCCTAAAGCAGTCCTGACCCGTAGTTCTAAGCTTCCCCAAATCACCCCTTTGAGAAACTGATGACAGCCATAAACTCTCCCTGTGTATAACATCAGGGGGGTCCTAGAGCTCCTTAAACCCCTTCATCGACCCTTTTAAGGGACTTCAGTCCCCAGGTTAAGAGCCTCTGGCTTGAGGGTTAGTATTTAAGACCATCCATGATCATCATTCTAAATGAAGTAACCCAGAAAGAAAGAAAAATAACCATATGATATCACTCATATGTGGAATCTAAAAAGAAAAAAGAAGACACTAATGAACTCATCTACAGAACAGAAATAGACTCTCAGACACAAAAAACAAACTTATGGTTACCAGAGGGGAAGGGAGTGGGAGGGGATAAATTGGGAGTTGGAGATTTGCAGATACTAACTACTATGTATAAAATAGATAAACAAGTTTCTTCTGTATAGCACAGGGAACTATATTCAATACCTTGTAATAACCTATAATGAAAAAGAATATAAAAACGAATATATGTATGAAACATTATGCTGGACACCAGAAACTGGCACATTGTAACTGACTATACTTCAGTTAAAAATAAAAAGACCACCCATGATATGGGTCCCTCGCAGTGGTCCTTCCTCTCTTTTCTCACCTTTCTCTGCTACCTGAGGGAGCCGTGCTGTTTTCTACCTTTGTGTCTTTGGACACACTATTTCCTCTCTTCTCCTTTAATCCCCTGGTCCTCTGTTATAACACCATCCCCTGAGCCATCTAAAAGACCAGTGTAGGGTCCCACCAGCAAAAGCCTCCAGCGGAAGGAGCTCTAAACCTCCAAGGAGCAAGGAGTCTGAGGACCAGCGATGGAAATGAGATGGGAGGTGAGACACAGATGACTCTCAGAGCCTGTTGGGCAGCTGCCAACATCATGAGCCCTTCAACCAGGAGCCAGGAGAGCGTTTGTCTGTGAACGGCTTGTATCTAAAAGACCTAAGGAACCCCCGGAAGTGATGGGGATCATTTTCAGCACTGGCTTGAGGCAAAACTCTAGACAGGTACAGCCCACTCCGGCGCCTTTCTTACTCCGCCCCCTCTCCTCGCGCCCCGGCTCCCACGCGGCCGCGCCCCGGCTCCTGCCCTCCCCTCCTACAGCAGCCTGGACGCGGCCCTCCCTTCCTCCTCCCCGCGCGGGGGCGCGTCTTGTCATGACACTTCCTTTCTCCTCCCGACACGTTTGGCCAAGACTTAACCCTCTAACTCAGCTCCCGTCTGCGGCGCGAACCGTGCCAGACGCCGAGAGAGGCGTAAACTACACCTGAGCGAACCCTCTTCCTTTCCTTAGGTCTTTGCCTTAGGCGAGCACGTCTCCTTCTCACCCTTTTCAGATGAGGCAACTGAGGCTTAGGGAAGTTGTATCACTTGCTTCAGGTCAGCAAATTAACGACCCAAGTCAACATCAGATTAGCAAGGATTCTCACAGCGTGACTGGGTGTGGAGAAAAATGTTAAGTTGAGATTCTGAAAGGGGGTTTCAGGGAAGCCTCTGTGTTCTGAAGCCTCTTTCCACGCGCCCTCCGGCCACACGGCGGCCGACCCTCGGCCAGCTTTGTGTGTGCTCGTTCATCTACGGGAGATCACGTCCGGCTTCCAGAATGCACTTTACTGGGGGCCCCTCCGCCCTGCAGCGCCTCCCGGGGTGCACCACGGGGCCCCCGCTCTCAGAGCCACGGCCGCCCGTACCTCCTTCCGGCGTATTGAAGGCCCTGTCGGGGCTGGCCGGGCCCTCCCCCTTCCCGTTGACCACCCGGACGTTCAGTGTGTAGTGGCTGAAAGGCTCCAGCCCGGGCAGCATGCCGTGGGTCTTGCTGCCCTGGAAAGTGAGGATCTTCTTCTCAAGGTGGCGCCTGTTTCTCTGAGACGAGCCCTGTGCCTTCCAGTAGTAGATCTGAAACAGCACGACAGTCAGAGGACGTCAGAGGCGCGAGGGAGTCCGCAGAGGCCTCGTGCCCACGGAATTGTTTTTTTCCCCTAGAAAATTCCCCTTTTTTTTCCTCAAAGAAAAACATAGATTTTTTCCAGAAAATTCCTTTTTTCCCTAAATAAAAAAATAGGGTTTTTCCCCCCAGAAAATTCCCCTGTCTTTTTTTTTCCAAAGAAAAAATACAGTGTTTCATTAACCACCACACTGTTATAATACACTTTAAATGTACAATAAGGTAGCCTTTAAATTTGAGGTGGGCTTAATAACGAACAGAATTTCAAATTTCTGTGACAGGTGAACTGCTGCAGTTATAGGTACATATTTAGGAAAACTGTATAGCTCTTACAAGACCAGCAATGAAACTTTATTTTGTACATTTAAAAAAATTGAAAACATAAACAATCATTTAAAAATTAAAAGGAAAACACAGCACAATGAAAACATACATTTCTCAATTAAACGTACTGCTGACATTGACATTTTAAGGGAAAAAGGAAAATGGTTGATATTTAAGTGCAGACTGACTAACCAGACCAAAAAAAAAAAGGCTTAAAATATATCATAAAACCTCTAGCTTTCTCACTTTCTCTGACTAATTTTCATATGGCTGGAGTATCATTTAGACTATTTTAGATTAGTGGAAAAACTGAGAGATACTGATTTTGAGGCAAGAGAGCAGAAGCCCACAGATAATGAGGGGCACTAAATTAAGAATATATGAGGAGGCTGGACAATACTATTTTGTTGGAGCAGTATAAGTAAAATAAACTAAATAAATGAAACAGCATGAGACCCATGCAGAAGGATTTAAGTATCTTTTACTCATATAAAATATTCTAAAAATAAAAATTGCTGCCTAATACTTACATACTTTTCCAGAGTTAATACAACTTCATGTATAATGTTATCATTTAGTTTAATCCTAAAAAACCACAGTAAAGATTTTATTATGCACTATTCCCACAGTACAGATGAGCCCCTGGGGTCTCAAAAGGCACAGAGGACCCTCCACCTCAAGTGTAGGGCTTTCTCACTAAGTCAAATTCTCAATTAAAAATACTAATTTTTTTACATTAAATTGCAGACACAGATTTTAAAGAGCTAGATAAGCAAAGTGTTGATTAACTTTGGATAAAAATCCAGAACTGTTGTTTATTAAGTCCTCTTATATTCTTCGCAGGAGTTTACTGGCTCTTTCAAGAGAAATCAACATATATATACACAGAACCCGGCAAATCTTGGGGGAAAAAACACCAAAATTGAACATGATGCAGTGCCGAAAGTGACCCCTAGGGGTCAGGGTTTAACAAGTCAAAACTGACTTCCCTTGTAGGTGTAAAAGTTTTTTGACCATTTATTAATCAAAAATATGAATCAGTCCTTCTGAGCTTCCCAAGAGCAAAGATAACTGATGTTTGTAAGAATAACTCAGTTGGGACTAAGTGATCTCAAGTGCAATATCAATTATTTTAAAAAGTCTGTATTGTTTCCAGGATAATTTCTTATGTTCAACACATGCTGTCAGTATTGCTTTAAACATTACTTTTCCCCGTTCGCGTGTTGTTTCATTGGGGGAATGTTAGATTATCTTTGTGTGCCTTTGTGTGCCCTAGGGCCCTTTGTGTGCAGGGAGATTTTGATTCAGCTGTAGCTGGGGTTCTTCAGTGGTGGCCTGCCTGAGACAACACACCAGGCAAACTTTTCAAGGCCTCTTCTGGCCAAGAAAAGTGCTTCTGGCATTTGCTGATGGCCTGCTTCTAAGAAAAGGACAAAAAAAAATATCTTTCACTTGCCCGATAGCCTTGCAGGTGTCCTCGGATACTTTTCAGAGGTACTGGGTCCCAGTGCACCTCGGCCAAGGTACTGTTCACCACACTTACGCGCACATTCCCGGGAGCCACCATTGGGACTAGGGAAGGATGCCAAAGAGGGATAGAAGTATCATGTCATTTTGAATTTCATGCAAAAATAGCACTGTCTAATAACTTTGGCTTGAAGCATGCCCTAGTCCTAGTCTATGTATTATCAGCAATGAAGAGTAGACTTTTTTTTTGATATTTGTTCATTGGACTTTGTGAGAATAACATATCTTTTTAAAAAGTAATAACTTTGAACATTCTGAATGTATTTTCTACACAGCAGGCTGTTGAAGTGCAGAAATGCTAAACAGTATAATTGCCGCCCCCACTCCCTCCCAATCTAAGCACCTTTGGAAATGGCCTTGATGTGCACCTTGGTGAGTCTGTTTTGCTGGGGGAAAGTACATTTGAAACAGCATCAGACACTCACGGTCTTCTCCAGAATGCCCCGTGGCTACAGCTGGCTCTGGCGCAAACCCCACGTCATTCAGGGCCTGAACTTTGATCAGGTACGGAACAAAGGTCGGCGTGCCCGAGACGATGTATTTGGACACATTGGCCACAACCACAGACGTCCATTCATCGTCTCCATCTTTCTGGCGCCAGCTTACTTTGTATTGAAGGCCTGGCCCATTAGATTCGAAACCACTCAAAGGCTACAAGAAAAGCCAAATAAATAATCAGAGCTTATAAAACAGATCGACTGCAGAATCTTTTCCTGGAAGGGCAAATTCAATTCCCAGACTTAAAGAAAGTGAAACACTAAAATACAAGCCATTAACAATTTTCTCCAGGGACCCTGTTATCTTTCTTTCACTTGTGTTGAGATTCAAAGCTTGTTCGGGACCCACATTTGAAAGGTTGTGAATTTCTATCTTGAAGCAGTAAATACCACAGAAGTCTCTCAAACTCTGGCTGCACAGTCCAGGGTGGGGGACATAAAACTTTTCAGTTCTTCTTTTTTTTTTGGCCGAGGGGAGGTAATTAGGTTTATTTATTTATTTTTAGAGGAGGTACTGGGGATTGAACCCAGGACCTCACGCATGCTAAGCATGTGCTCTACCACTGAGCTGTACCCTCCCCCCAGAACTTTTCAGTTCTACCATTTCCTTGAGGTACTCTCGTTTGTGTGACAGTACATCACTGTCTATTCTCCTTGGAGACCCAAACTTGTGAGTTATTTCTTTCTTTATTGAAAGTATACAAAAAAAGAGATTGGCTTGTCATTCTATCCTGTTTCTACATGCACGTATGTGTATAACTATGTACAAACAGGTATACCTCTAACTGTGTGTGGATCTATCTAAAATAAGTTTCAAAATTACACAAGTAAATCTCTATTAGTTTCCCAAGACCAGAAGATGCAAGTAAGCCAAAGAAAAAAGGAGAAGTTGAACTACTGGGAATAACTTGGTACATACCTTCTGGATGGTTCTCCATGACAACGATAATACTAGCTAGCATTTATTGAACACATATATGTGTTAGGCACCATTCTAAGTGCCTTATATGCATTAACTCCTTTGATCTTACAAGGTTGGTTCTATTATTATCCCCATGATATGATACATAATGGAGATGTTCAAGAAATGCCTTGAAGTTACACAGTTAGGAAGTGTGGGATTTACACACTTACAAAGCTAGGATTTACACCTATTCATTTGGGCTCCAAGGATCAAGTTTTTAACAACCACACAATACTGTTATTAAAGAGACAGTTTAATAAAGATATATAATACATATTTTCCCCCAAAATGGGTGAAATGGGATTTTTAAAATTCACAGATATTTATTGCAGCAATATTTCTAATAGCAAGATATTTGAAACAAAATTCTCATTTATAAAAAATTGGTTGAATAGAATATGTTAAATTTACACAAATGAACAACTAAGCAGATGTAATAAAAATGAGGACAATCTCTATGAATCAATATTGTATTATTTCCAGGGTACTGAAATGGGATTTTAATAAGGTATTATTTAAAAACGACTTTTCTGTTCCATTCTCAAATACACCAAGGACAGTTGGAGATTTCAAACAGAGCTCACCTTCCATGTAATCACCAAATTATCGGGCTCGGATCCCAGCCCTTCCACAGCCGTGGGATTTTTATCTGGTTCTAGAAGTGAAGCAGCCACATACTTGTAAGCTTCGGTGCTTTTGCAAACAGGGGCAAATGTTTCTATTTTATTTCAGATCTCAGAAGTCTGGCTTTACCTGCGGCTTTAGTCAAATACTGCTCAGATGACTCGCTGGGCAGGCTGGTTCCCAAGTTGTTGACTGCCATCACTCGGAAGGAGTAGTTCACGTATGGCGACAGCTTGAGCTGGGCTGTGGTCTGCGTCCCGGGGACCTCAGTCTGATGGTGCCACAGCCCTGCCTCATGCATTGCATCTTCATACTCAATGATGAATTCTGGCCACACCACACACACACACAACAAACCCAAGACAGTGAATTTGGTCACCCAACCGCAGGTTGCTAGGGTAACAGCTGGGTTGCTAGGATAACGAACAGGACAATCTAATGAGAGTAGCCGAACACAAACTGTCTCACTTCCAAGAAAAATTCATTAGAATATTTTGATTTCAGAGTTCTCTCATCGTCCTCAACACTTAAGCACATCCAGTAATATTTGGTATTCTTTCTCTAGCACACTGAGTTTAGTTTTGTAAAATCCTTTAGAAGTGATCCACATAATCCCAGGAAAGTTTAAGCATACGAAAAGATGGTTGATTTTTTTTCATCACAGGAGAAGTTAAATTGAGTACAGAGAGACACCACTTCCCACTCAACAGGCTGGCCACAATAAAAGGTATAACACACTTTGTTGACTACGACACGGGGAAACAAGCATTCTCACACTGTGGGGAGCGTAAATTAGTATATCTTCTACAGAGGATACTTCAGAACATCTAACACCATTTAATTCAGATACCCTTTGATTGAGAAATTGTACTTCCAGCTATTTATTTTGGAATAAGCATGCTCACGCATATGTTCAAAGCCACACAGAAAGGAACCCTCACGGCAGCACTGTTTGCAATTGAAACAACTTAACTGCCAACAACCTAACCGTTCATCAACAGGACGCCGATGAAACCGATTCTGGTGCATCCACACAATGGAATATTCTGCTGCTGTAAAAACTGAATGGGGCGGCTCTGCATGCACTGAGGGATGGTTTCTAAAATATATTGTTAAGTGAAACCAAGGAGGGTAGAGAACAGTGTGTGCTGGACCTTACAGTTATGTAAAAATAAAAAGATTTACTATGCCACACACACGTATGTAGTTGCTTGAATGTCCATGTATCACCTCTGAGAGGACACACACTGTAACACTAGTGTCACCAGAGGAACTGAGAGTCCAGAGTGGGAGGAAGACGTAGTTTTCAGTGCATACCTTCTTGTATCTATTAAAATTTGGGGGTATGTACATGTTTTATCCTTGTAAAAAATGGGAATTTAGAGACTCAATAAGTGCCTACTATGCGATATGAATTACAGAGACGAAGATGAACTAGAAAGATGTGCTGCAGTTCTCCGGAGCTCAGTACTTAAGAGTTCTCCCTTCCACCTACATGAATTTCCGGTGATCTCCAGTCTCACACATTGATGACTTTCACACTTACATCTGCAGCCCCTCTTTCTCCCTGAACTTCAGACTTGGGATAGCACATTGCCAGCTCGAGGACTTCACATGCTTGTCCAGTACAGCACTTCCAACTGCACGTGTCCGAGACTGACCCCGATCTTCGCCCCGACTGGCAGTGACAGCTCAGGTCAAAACCTTGCCGCCCTTCACGGCCCCTCCCCCTTCTCTCGTATCCTCGACAGTCCTGTTGGCTGTACCTCTAAAATACGTGCAAAATCGCAGCCTATCAGTTCTCAGCTCCTCCATCCTTCCAAGCCTATTCTAGGCCACCAAGATCTCTTGCGTGAATTATTGTGTGACCTCCTCATTCACAAGTTCCCAGACTTTCTCAGTTCATGATGTGCTGAGTCTCTCAGTCATTTTTTTTTTCATAGCTCCCTTAGGTCCAGAGAAGTACCTAACGTTTCTCTGTATTAAGTTGTTAGGTCTATACAATCGAATAAAAGTCTAGGTCTTAACTTAAAATCTACTAAGCACTGCATAACTTCTCCAGCCTTGAAAATGGATCGGACGCCACCTTTTTTATTTCCCGCTTCACACTGACTTTCACGTAGTACTTACTTTTTATCACAGCAAAAGCTTTGCCGAGATGTGATGTGGTCACAATATGAGTTAGCGATAGAATACTGAAACTGTGGACTGCCTCAAGCTAGCATTTCACGGGGTGTCTGACATATGTCACTGTGTTTTTGAAAAACCAAAATTTAAACATTGAAAATTTAGGAAATATCCTGGGGCACCCCGTGAGTCTGCTGGGGTTCCACAGGGTATTTCAATGCACAGTTTGAGAACTGTGGTCCGGCTTGGTCTCCCTGCTCCCCTTCTTGTTCCTCCATAGACCATTTTCAATAGGACAGCCAGTGTGATCCACTCCTCTATTATAATAAATCCCTACAGTTCCTTCCCAACCTCCCTAGTGGCCCGCAAGGTCCTTCACGGTTCCCAAGCCACTCCATCCACCAACTCTACCTCCTTGACTTTCTCTCCTGCTTCACTTCCTCTTGTTAATTTCATTCTGGGCATTCTGACCTCCACGCAGACACGCTCCCATCCTTAAGGCCTTTGCTCCTTTCCTTGATCTCCCTGGAGAGTTCTCCCCCCGGATAATCGCCTAGTGTGTTCACAACCTACTTTCTCACGTCTTTATTGATATACCCAAATACTACCTTCCTAACATGACCTTTCTTGACCACTCTGCTGGTAATTATACCTCCAGCCCCCAGATTCTTTCATCTCCTTTTCCTGCTTTGTTTTTTTTGCCTAAATGCAGACACACACACATACCCAAGCCCACAACTACGTGTACAGATATACGTGTGTTTGAGCCCTCTAGGAAGCAGAGGCAGACACAGAAGTAGATGTGCAGGAGACTGATTTGGGGAAGATCCCGTGAAAGACAAAAGAAAGGCAGGGGTAGGCAGAGAAGATCTTCAGACCATAATACAGGTCTGACGTCTGTGAAAGGAGAGGGGGAGGGAGGGGCATGTGGGAGAAGCCTGACTCCAGTACAGATAGTCTCAGCCAGGTCATGAGAAGCCCCAGAGTGAAGCCGTGCAGGAGTGCTGGCCGAGCTCCAGGACCCTCACTGGGCTCGGTCACTGGACCAGCTCAGGAAGAGTGGCTCACCAGAACGGTGCAGCTGATCCTTAGGGAAGGGGCTGTGGATGGAGTCTCTGTTGAGATTTCTTGTAGTGGGTCCACTCTTAAAAGGAGATCTGAGTAGTGTGTGTGTGTGTGTGTGTGTGTGTGTGTAATGTGTATATACAGACATATATATATGACATTATATACAATAACATATTATTAATATGTTTATATATTAATACATTGTGTATATATACATTCTATATATATAATGTATCATACATTACAATATATAATGTACATAATGTATATATTATGTGTATATATTATTATATACACAATGCATGTATTATGTACATTATATACAATAATAAGTATTAGTTTCATCTTATTTGTGCCCTCAACTAAAATATAAACTCCACATGGGCAGAGACTTTTGCCTATTTTGTTTTAGAAGAATGCCTCGTACATCATAGGCACATCAATATCTGTTGAATGAATGAATGAATGCACAGAAATGCCTTGAAATCTAAAAGTATCATTTTAACATGGGTAAAGAGAGTCTCCAAGCATCCTAACCAGCTAGCTGGCTAATGCATTGAATTAACTGGAAGCCTCAGAATGAATAAGTGAACGTTCTGATCAAGGACTGAAAACTCCATTGAGAAAGGAACATCACTAAATAACACAAGGTAGAGAGGAGGCTTTTGCTTAATTTCAATGGGAATATTCTGCTTTACCAACAGGTGCAAAAAAATCAGCATGCACATCACTTCCGAATTATCTTAGGTAGTCATCAGAAAGGAATTTAGTCTTCTTGCAGGATATACCTGAAGGTAGTAATAGATTACAGTCTTAGGTCTACTCTCTTAAGTATATTTTTTGTTTTAAAACTTCTAAGCTTGTCTATAGTCTAATTTTACTAAGTGCTTCCAGTGTCCTGATGGAGTGGTCCCTCACCTGATTTTATTCTCTAGGCTGATGTCATGAAGGTGAGCAGCTGACATTGGTGAACGTGCCACTTTGTAGCGGGGGCTGATGGGAAGAGAGAGATCTGATGTCTACACCCCTTTCTGTTACCAACTGTGGGCATGAAAAGTCACTTCACTCACCAAGTCTCAATTTCCTAACATTTAGACTGGGCATCACATCTGGTCCTCCTATTTTTTCCACCCATAATAACTGGCAAAATGACTAACTCGAGATACATTTTCCGACTGTGGTGGACATTTAAGGTGATCCTTTTGGATCATGAACACAAAACAATAGTGTATTTGCTTAACATCTTTAGCAATTAATCAGTGTGTCATACCAGAAGCTATCACAGGGAGTAACTCCAGCTCGGAGGAGAAGACAGTCATAAATAAATGTTTTGGTTCTTTCAGTAACGAAGCAGAGAATGCCAGCAAATACCTCTGTGAGGAATTTCAATTGCATGTGATAAAGTGCTTTGAAAATGGTCACTAAGTCTATTGGTGATCAAGCAAATGGCACCACATACTTGTAATAGGACTGTTGTTGTCATCGCCTGGGGTCCATGACAGCTGAACACTCCTGTCAAGTTGATCGGTCAATTCCAAGTCAAAAGGAGGATTTGGGACATCTGCAGACCAAAGACACACATCACAGTTAACCATCCGACCTCAGGCGGTCCTCCTTTACTCAGGACACTACTCACGGAGGGGACTCTTAAAGACACAGCACACGTGATGGTCAGTGAGCATGCGGCCGGAAGGAGGTGAAGACACCTGAGATTGCTGGGAACGCACATGCATGCCCAAGGTAACCCGCCAGCGAGCTCTGCTTGCTTCTCTTTCAAGTGAAACTAAATCCCGCGTCACCAAAGCCAGTGAAGGGGACACGAATGGTTCTCCAGCACTCTCAGTGCGTGTCTTTTCAAAAACATAAAGGAGCGCAAACAGAAAAAATAATATGGAAGCTTAATTTCTAATCAATGGGAAACAGAGAATAGCAAATGCTGAAAAACAAAAACAGGCAGAAACGCATGTACTTTCAAAGAGGATGCAAATGTTCTTTCTGAAACATGCTAAATTACAGGTTTTGGGGGCTCCTGAAGAATATTTATATTTTTAAGGGGAATGCTAAAATTCCTGCTATACAGGTAGCCCTTGGCATGCGCACCTTATGCGGCTGCTCAGTACGAGCCGGTGAGGAACCTGGCGAGATGTGTTTATTCTTAGAGGACACCAGGGTACAGACACCTGTTGGGATGAAGGTGTCCCAGAAGCATGTCTGCCTCTTTGAATGGTGCTTCTGAGATCCAGAGGGTTAATGTTCCCCCAGGCCTTTTCCCGACCTTGCTCTGGGCAGTAACCCTGGCTCTTGGAAGAACCAGAAGCCCTGTAACAATATGAAACCGCCTTCCTACCAGTAAAGAAGCCGTACATGTCCACAAGGGACAGGTGTTCTATAGCATAACTCATGATACGATGCCAAATCCAGCTGAGTTTTTGCCAAAAAATTAATTTTATGTCTGTATACGCTGAATAAAGACAAGGGTTCTTTAATCAAAGAGATTGCTGGAAAATGTTTCTGACTTGTTTTCCAGACTCAGAAAAATCTCCCGAGCTGGAGTGCTCTCCTTTTGGTCTTTCTTTCGTGATTCATCTTCTGTTAACACAGTAAGCTGGTTTTCTCTGATACAAAGGGCAAATGCTGTTCTAAACACACACTGTTTTCCTACGTAAATTTCTTGAAAATGACATCCCTGAACAACATTTATTTTTCCAAAACAACTTTTAACAGATTGAAATGGAAACCTGATTTGTGGAATGATATTGGAAATCGCCTTTTCAGTTTATGGCTTTTGAAAAAGCACTGTGCTGCTTTACAAGGAAATCATATCAAAGCGAGACTTCCATCAAATGAAATAACTTTTTATAAGACATGAAATACTTGGAAGGAAGCGGCAACATATTCAGCGGAAAGTTCCAGAGTTCTAATGAAGAAATGATTTACAGCAGTAAATGGACAACAGAGCAGAACATCTGACAGAGACCTTTTCCTTAAGGAAACACAATGACATGATGGAGAAAAGAAAGTAATTGAATTTTTCTGCACATGTGGAATTGTTTGAAAGAAAAGAGAGAAAAAAAGAGTCATATTAGTTTACCGTAAATGGGAGCTGGAGTTGGAGTAGGAGCTAGAAAGGACATTAATATAAAGGATTTTAGTCAAAATTAGTAACGGAAAGATATAAGATAGCACAAGAAGACAAAGACTGAGCGTGATTAACACTATCAAATGGAGTCTTACGCTTAGCTGTCACACATGGCATTGATAAACACGCAGTCACAATCCAGGGGGAAAAACCCCAACAACTTTAAATAAAAGTAGATTATTTCCCCCAGTTTTCTTACAAAAATATCTGTAACATGCAAAACTACCATTTTGTTCCAGTGCTGCTACAGAGTACATTTATATTAAAATGATCGTCTCAAAGGCATCTTTCAAAGAAAAAAAGTGTGGGTATTCCACTCACCTATAAAACGGTAAAACTATAACCAGCAGATATTTACTATTGACAATTTTTCCTTTCATCCTAAAACAGGGCAGCCAGTTGTGCGGGCTGTGTTCCAGTTCTTACCGACAACGCTGAGCACAGCGCTGGCAGAAACGCTGTCCAGGGTCGTGTTGGCCACACATGTGTAGGTCCCTCCATCTTGGTCATTTACATCAGCTACCACCAAGTTGTCCTTGTCAATGGTGAACCTGCAAAGGGAACACATTCGGAGCAGCTACAGTGGACATCCGACCACACCCAACGATCGTTTTACTGGCATCAAAGAAACTGTGAATTCGATAAAAGACAAAGATGATAAAGATTTGCAGCACGTTAGCGCTAAAATCCTATACATGTCACTTTCACCGTGATTAAAGTTGGAAAATGTTTTGAATGAATTAGAATCTTGGGTTAGAAATGATGACAAGTCACCTGGTCCGGTGGCGTTCAACCACACGTCTAGACTTTTAGAAACTTCCTTAGACAGGGCATCCAGAGCTGGGGGTGGCGGGTGAGGGGCGGCTTCAGGTACCTCGACTAGAGGGCTTTTTCCTACGGCTCCTGCTGCCACAGCTCATCCAGCTCAGTTTCTAACAAAGTGTGTGTTTTTAAATAATTTACTACTTACAGCAGAATTTTTGTATCGTTTTGCCGCAGGCATAAACTCTCACAGGAGAAAGAAAATGCAGACAATGCTAATCAGCTTTATGACTGGAAACAGCAAGATGAGATCAGCAATCACCACGAAGAGTTTTCTAGAGGTTGCTTTCTTTTTTTTTTTTAATGTTTATTTATTTGTTATTGTATCATTTTATTTTAAACTGGAGGGGGAGGTAATTAGGTTTTATTTTATTTTTAGAGGAGGTACTGGGGATTGAACCCAGGACCTCAAGCATGCTAAGCATGCACTCTGCCACTTGAGCTATACCTTCCCCCTTAGAGGTTACTTTCGAGCATGACAATTTATTCAGTGGGTCAAAAACCTGTGTAAATAAGATTCATGCGTGGTTTGAATGAGGCTGCATGAATCAGTAGCTGTCTTCACAGGGGAAGTGAAAGCTTTAGCCAACTTAACCCGATGGTCATTTCTTCCCACTTCCTTCTCATCTTTATCAATTCAGATTCCACAGATAAAACTGACCAGTTGAAGTGTAGAGAGATGGAAACTCGGGACATAGAAAAGACCACATAGTTCTTTTAAGGGCCATTAACAAGCAACAGGGGACCATTAGGCACTGTTGAAAGGAGCCACAGAAACCATACAGCATACAGCATCCCTTCCAGTAGGGGTGAAGCTCGTGGCCCCTCTGTCACAGCTAAAATTGACGCATTCAACTCTGTGGGCTTAGTCGAACTGAGAGCCTCACCCGGAAAGCTGGGATGACCTTTCTTCCATTCCAAGATGAAGGAATGCAATGTTCAAGCTCTTTTAAAAAGCTTCATTTTTCCCCCCACTCCTTCTACTGGCTTTAGGTAAAATCAAAGAAAACTTCCATCCTAATAAAACGAGTGTCCTTTAAAATACCGACAAGGATTCAGGCACACTCTGATGATTAAAGAGATCGTATTTCTGCCTATTTGTAGAATGCTAATGAAAACAGCTGTTAAGACTGCACTGTACAAGGCAGAAAACAATGGATGCTGTCCAAAGCCCGAAAGGTTTTTCGCATCCTGAATTACACAGGGGACCAACACACAAAGGCAGACAAACATTCTCAGGGTCTTATTTCGATAACTTGATACCTTTTCAGGTCCGAACATTTTACAGCAGGGAGGAAAAAATGTGCATCTACTTTGGAGAGAGAGCAGCCTTCAGAAACTTTACAAATATAACCGTGAAGCTACTATTCAATCAGTCTTTACTTTGAGAGCAGCTTAAAGAGAGAAGGAAGAAAAAGGAAAGAAATGCTCTTCCAATACCTTCCATCACTGGGCAGCTCACCATGGTCTTTCAGCCACATGACAGTGGGGATTAAGGTGTGATCATGTTTCACTCTGCATTCAAAGGACACTGTGCCCCCCCTTTGCACGACTGCATACTCGGGCTGTTTAATGATCCTTGTTGGATCTGAAATGGAACGTGACCGTTCGTTATCCAATGCCAAAGCTGGAGAATTCACTCCAAGTCACATAATACTTGAAAATGTTTCATCCCCTCTGCCTTACCTTTGATTTCTAAGTGAACTTCATTCTTTGCCATTCCTAACTTATTCCTTGCGACACACGTATACGTTCCTGTACTATCCTTCTGGGCCACAGGGATTTCCAAAGTTCCATTTTCATGTAGAACATAAATATCTTCGCGAAGAGCACTGCCTTTAGCGCCTTTAAACCTTCATTGTGGGAATGATCACAGTGAGAAAGAAAACACGTGGGAATTTGAAGTCAGACATAAAGAGACACGTCCAAGGTCAACACACCACGATCTGCATGACAGTATGAAGGTCAGAGCCGGCCGCAGGCTGCACCAGCACACCGCATGCTTGCAAATCAGGGCGGGGTCAGTGCAAAGACAGGATGCTAACTGGAGAACCCAGTGATAAATGGATCTTCAAGAATCAGCACAGCAAGACAAAATTCTTAAATCGCAATTTTCATTATGAGAGATTCACAATTTAATAAACATATCATTATCTACTTTCTTTCTAAATAAGTGATAAAATAGGCAGAATGCAGACTGCTCCTTTTTTGACCTTTTCCCTCTACTGCGATGTGCCTGCAACTCCATCTGCAGGCTATAATTCTAAAGAGATTTTGACATCAAGGTTACGAGGATTATACTTTTGAGAGTGTATCAGGAAGTGTTTCCGGGACTTTATTTATACCATTGAGGGAGAACTGATTGACAATGTTGTGTTAGTTTCTGGTGTATGGCGCGGTGATTCAGTTATACATACACACACATATATATATTCTTTTTCATATGCTCTTCCATTATAGGCTATTATAAGGTATTGAATATAGTTCCCTGAGCTGTAGAGTAGGAACTTGTTGTCTATCTATTTTATATGTAGTAGTTGGTATCTGCTAATCCCGAACTCCTAATTTATCCCTCTCCCCCTTTTCCCCTTTGGTTACCGTATGTTTGTTTTCTACATCTGTGCGTCTGTTTCTGTAAACAAGTTCATTTATCTCATTTTTTCAGATTCCACATATAAGTGATACCATATGATATATGTCTTTCTCTGACTTCACTTAGTATGATAATTTCTAGGTCCATCCACATAGTTGCAAATGGCGTTATTTCATTCTTTTTTTATGGCTGAGTAGTATCTTTGAGATTATAAACAGGAAAAGATTCAGGGAAGAAAGAGAATAAAGTGTGCATGGAAAGTGTGTCTACATTCGGCTTCCAGGTTAGTGTCGGACAGAAGTGAGGATGGATGAACAGCAGGGCCAGGGTAGGGGAGGGGGACTAGGTATGTTAACCCCGCCCCCTTTGCTAGGAAACCTTCTGCTTCTCTTCTCTGCAGTTAAGGTGGAGACCTGGGGAGAGGGTGCTTTCATCCCACACCTGGCTTTAATCTCACAGCAGTAGGTGGAGCCCTTCACAGGGTCTGGCACCTGACAGGTGACCCATAAATCAATGTTCCCATTTTCTTCCACTCATTCTTCCAAGCAAGCCAGGAGGATGAACAGGACTTGTATCAGGAGTGATACAGGCAAGCAGATGGTCTAAAGTGGGAGTGAAAGGACATAGGGGGGCTGGCTCCCAGTCAGGAAGCTCAGTGGGAGAGGAGCACTGGTCACAGCAAATTCTGCTTTTACACTTACAGACCTTTACCCCCACCCCCAAATGATATTTCACTATCAAGGAATGGTCCCCAACCTGTTCGGCCATTCATGAGGTCCCAGAGATGTCCGTGGCACTGTAAAACACAGCACCTTTTAATTTTTTTCAAAAACATTTACATATATCTCTGTGGTTGACAAAGTG